AATCCATTACGCGATCGATGGGTGTTTTTGGCCGTGATTGAGGTCGTTGAGCATTGTGTGATGGATGCTGAGGTCGGTGGTGTCTGACCTGATGGATGCATATGGGTCGATCATAGAGTCAGTCTGCTGTGGAATCTGATGGACGGAATGTTGGATGGGATGTACGGTGGTGGTCAGAGGTTTGTATGGACCGCTGCTCCAGAAAGACAAAAAAAAAAAGAAGCTAGTTTTCTTTATTGTATGCAATAAAGAATAGCCAAGGTCTAGCTAAAATTATAGCAGCAAAAGCTACAAGTTAGCCAACAGATAAATTACAATAAATGTTTAGAGATAATAAATGTGTCTTAGAAATACCTACAGGTTAGACTTACCTTTAAAGTAGCCAAATGTTAGCTCGAGGTCATAAGGGACTGCAATTTAAAAATGTTGCCAAAATGATAAAAATAAAATAAAATGTATTTGCAGATCAAAAAGATCAGATTCACAAGCGCTAAGGTTAATGCCAGTCCAGAAAAAAAGTTAATTAAAACAACTAACAATTGGTCTGAACAGAAGGAAACGTATGTCACAAACAGCAGATTCTTCCCTTATACTGTAGACCTATGATAAGACACCGTTACAAAATGTTAACAGTTAACAATTTATTTTTAAATTGGCTAACAAAAAGGGAATATTTGTCAAAAAATGTTAGCTTAGGTATAGCCTACATTTAGCAACAAATTATGTGAACATTTAATCAACGTTAGCATATGGTATAATAGTTAACCTAAAAAAACCTAGTAACTAAGCTGTAATGGTAAATAAAAATAATAGCTTAAGTATTGCTTAAGGATACAATTATCAAAGAAGTACGCATACATTTGTTTTGTTTTCTCTGGCAATCAGATTTAATTGAAATCTTTATTATTGACAGCTTCACTGTATGATGGGGGTGGGGGGGCTGTTTGTTATTGGAAATGTAGGACAAAGAGCATGATGGTCCTGCACACTGGTCTCTGTGTCATTAAGTCTAGTCCATCGATGTGATTTGGATTTTCTGAGCAAACAGGAAAGTAACGATGTTTATAACGTGTTGTGTTTTAAAAACATAACTAATTTGGTCTGCGCTGTGAAGAGCACATCTGCAGCTGCCTTTGTTGTCAGGTTCCTTCTCCTGGTGTTTGTGAACAAGTGGAAAACAAAAGCACAGTAGTCATGTTTACAAGCCTCATCTCCAGCTGGTGAACACTTGGTGTCAAACTACACAGATTTCCTGACACACACATCACATGGTCGTGTTTCTCCCTGACACAGACAGTTCCAGATCCCCGGTGCTTTCCTGGCTCTGTCTTCACTTTCTCCTCCATGGGAACAATCTTCATTAATATTCCTAAGCTGCCCCCTCAGGAGGGCGCAGGACTGTTGAAAAACAACTTTTCCAGGAGACGCTCAGTCACACAGCAGAAGGATTGATAGAACAGACGTTTTTTTTGTTGTCAACATGACAATGTACACTCTGGACAATTAATCAGACGAGCCAGAGCAGCCTGTCTCATGGTACCTGAGATGAACCTGCTGCGTTTCAGGCAGGTTCATCTCAGGATGACTTGGATGAGTCATGAATGTGAGCTTGATCTGTGATTAACACACAGGGAAAAAACAACTGCAACCATGTCAAATATGTTGTGTTTTTTTATTTATTATTATTTAAATATGTAACAATTTCACAAGAAGAGACAGATTGAACACTAGGGGATTTTCAAGCCCCATCTGCCTCCGCCACCTCAACAAAAATATTGAACAAGGTTACATTTTAAGTTTATGAAACTAACACCAAGTACCATCGTATTTTTTCAGACAATAAAAGTGCAGTTGTACCACCATCAGTTAAACCTTGAAAATGTCCTCCCGTTCATCACGCTCCACCTGTCATGTCTCCACACCAGTGGGGCCCGCCCCACACTTTGAGAAGCACTGGCCTGGTGGTCAAATGAAAGTGAACAGTTCCCCTAAAAAACTCTGAGCTTTTTTTTTTTGTCAAAAAAGCTCAGAGTTTGAGAGTTGACCCCCAAATTCAAGTGAATATTTAAACGAAGGATGACATATGACAGCAAACGTTTTTGTGTTTTGACACAGAAAGCTTGCCTTTCCCTCTCAGCCTTATATAATGTGCTGAGAAAGCATCCGGAGGCTTGAGAACACCTCGGCCCATTGACGCCTACGATGGTGTCTAATACTGTCAGTCGTGTCTGTGCTGGTGGGCGGGTGACGACGTTTGACATGTCAGGTTTATTTGTGAAATCATAGTTACATGTGACGACAGCCCATCTGTCACGCTGAAACAGACATTGACTTCCTCTGTTTCCTGCCTGTGAAGAATTGAACCGGCAACCATCAGACCATTAATGGGAGTGAAGAGGTGGAATTCTCTCTCAATTTTAGAAGCAAAGATTGCGACTTTTAATGTTAATTACCAACCGATTTACAAACTTTTTTTTGCTATAACTTTAATTGTATTTACAGTTCTGGTTATATTAAAATGATTTACCATCTGTGACCTAACTTCTAGGAGAGCATGTATACTGGAGGAGGAAGCATTCAGATGATGATTTTTCTGATAATGGTCTTATAATTTGTGGTTTAGTTGTGTAGTTTATTGCACTGTAAATCTTGACTGATAAGGTAGAAAAATAAGAATTGAGTTCTTCAGAAGGTAATTTATCAAAGAAAATGTTAACTTTTCATCGAAATCGTCATTGAGTTGTTGGTATCAATCAGTGTGCTTTTGATTAATTTATCTTTACTCCAATTGGACATTTACATTAGTTTTATAAATATTTAGTTTCATTCATCTCCATGCACCTGCTTGTTTTTCTCTATTGGCTTTGAATGGACTTGGTCTGCTTGCCAATTTTTTTTTATCTTGTGTTGAATCATGGAAAAACTTGCCAATTTTCCAACGCCAGCTGATTAACAAAGGAGCAAAGACACAATGAGCAATGCACTGGCATGCTGTTGTATAATACAACATGTTGAGAAGAATTTTATTTTTAAATCTTTTTTTTCCAAACAATTCTCATCAATCTCTCTGGATACAACATTTAAGGTCATGTATTTCTAATGGTTATCTCATCTATATCTGTCAGTTAATCTGTGTATGTGTCATACACTGTGCTGTGTACTTTTTCATGAGTAGAAACTGGGGGAGATGCTAAATTTGTGAACAAAAGGAGGACAACAGGAGTAGCACAAAAGAAGAACATATAACAATGTATTTTATTATGTAACAATTGACCTTTTATTGCTGATACTAAGGGAAACACAGTGTTGACATTGAAGCAAACAGTGTTAAGCCCAGGTTTGACTGTGGAGCTCAGACCAGTGTTCAGTGTTCAACGTAGGTCAGAGGGTCAGGGTGTTTGGTTCAGACTAAAAAGATATGATTTGAAAGGAATCAATTAGTGTGTTGGATTTTAGTGTGACTTTTGTAAAATATGAAGATCATATAGCACTCTATGAATATTCTGCATTAAGAATTCATGTAGATCCTGCACTTAAAATAATGCTGCAGTCCAATCAGAACACATTGAAAACAGTACCTGTGTTGTTGTTCTGCGTTGAGTCACGCAGCACGGTGTAGTCCTGATGGAGCCACTCTTGTTTATTAATAGAAACAGTTTCCTGTATTAATGCAAAAAAACTGCCCTGGTTTTTCATGCTAATGAGTATAGACAGTCGGTGTCTCTTCTTTAACGGCTGCAGATCTGTGTCAGTGTGTCTGGGTCCTGGTTTGAACTCTGGTAAACAGACCGTTCTGACGTGTTTTCCAGCACAGAGATCAATCTTAGCTTTTGAAGATGACGTTCATCGGGGCTGCAGTTAGGCAGAGAGACGGTCTCCCACAGGATTCAGACAACCAGCGGGAGGCGCTGTTTGAATGAAACATTCAATAATTCTTTGACGGCATACTCAACTTTGTTAGTTGTCTTTTAAAACGTTATTATTTTGGCCTGAAACAACACAGTCAATGTCATCATGTCGGTACTAAAGAAATTGCTTTTAATGCTGCAAAAGTGATGCAACGGTTGCTGTTATAAAACGTATCAAAGGTGTTCAGTGCGGTTGAGTAACATTAGTTAAGTTATATTACATTTTTGGAAATTTTGTTTACCTTGCATGGATTTATTTACTTTTATTTTAAGCTAACTTTAAGCCAAAGTTTACCTGTATTTTTGGCAGTAATCTTTACATAAACTTTCATTAGGCTGTGTAACTCGAACTAAGCTAATGCTTTGTCAAATTTTCAAATTTCTTAAACTGGATTTGCAACTGCTTTTTTATATTTTACATAATATATATATTTATTTGTTTGTATAAAAAGAGGAACATGTATAACATTTTATATTTAGAGTAATTATATTTAGAGAGAATATTTTCCTGCCTCAGTTGTTTTTAATAACATTCCACATTCCAGCTGACAGTGTCCATGTAAATCATAGTGTACAGAGGAGGGTAACTATAGGAACAGGAGAGGCTTTTAAATCTCACACATGTTGAGGGTAAAGCAAAAAGGTCACTGATTGGCTCTCCTGCTGTTGCTATGGAAGTTGAGGCCGTTTCTCTTATTGGACAGTGGATAAAGCAGGTTCACTTCCTGGCTGTTTGTCAGCCTACCCACATAGGCAGGAAGCAGGGGGCATCAGTGGGGTAACAACTTTGTAAGGGAAATATTCTAGGATATTTGCTTTGCTGCATGTTTTTATCCGCTGCACTAGAGAACGGCCCAACGCCGACTGTTCACAGACACACACACACACACACACACACGGCAGGCTCACCATGTAATGTCTATTACTAGAAGATTATTAAGATTATTATTATTGTGACGTGCTTGAATGAAAATGAGATGAGATAGAGAGAAACAGAGAGATGCATTGTGTTCGTCTGTGATTTCCCTGATGTAGTGACCAGTGCTGGTGTGTACTGGCCAATTCATTAGGGAGATTAGTTTTTGTCCTCAGTTCAGTTCAGGGGGTTCACCAGGGCGCTGACTCAACATTCAGGATGACCCTGAGTTACAGTGGCTGTTATTTAGATGTTGGTTGTATTTTGGACTATATGCCAAAGTGGTCATATAGTCAATCATTGAACTTATTCATTATTGATTATGCTCTTGTACCACGTTATGGTACAAGATGCAAAGTTTTAGACAATCCCATGGTTTCACTGGTGTTGTTCTTCAGAATATTATTTTTATTTTGGTTAATCTACAATCTTAATAGGGATAGAAAGACTGCAAATAAATATACAGTATAGTATATATACTGACATAACTGCTTTACTACTAAGTTTGTAACTATATAAATATTTGATTTATGTGATTTGTCCAGTAGGATCCTAACCACATTTTGTCACTCAGATTCATAAACCAGAAGTGATAGTTTAGCTTAAAACTGATGTTTAAAAGTAACTAAAATTAAAGTTACTCTCCGTCAAATGAGCCAACGTGATCCCAGATTTCCAAAGATGGGCCTCTGTCAAATGTAGGTCCTCATGATCTGGAGCCATTAAGTAATGACACACTGTAAAACAAGAAAATGTACTTTTTCTGTGAATGCTGCATTACGCTTTTTAAATGAAAAGTATGTTTTTTTTGTCGCAGACGATAGGAGGTGGAGTCACCAGTGGCTCAGAGCAGCATCTGTACGGTCTTTTTTAAACCACCTTCCCTGCAGGAAAGTGAGAGTGACGGGACATACAGGCTGCATTCTGAGCAGAATCAACCGCCTGAACAACACAGACATTGTTGTTATCGCCTCTGTGAGGATGGGAGTAAAGTAGGGGAAAGGACAGAGGGCAGGATCAGCTGCAGGGAGAGTCTCATCTAACACGTGACCCAGAAATGCTGTACTGAGTTCACCTCCGAAAAAAGGTCATTAAAACAGCCGACAGGAGACGAGGGGTAGGAATGAAGTGATAGAATGATGTACACTCTAGATGGTTCTATAATGAATTCAGAAATACCACGGGGTCCACTGGCCCTCATGTGATGATGATGAGAGAATCAAATGTACTGTAAATGCAAGGAACTTTAAAACAGTGAAACACAATGCTGTTGTCAAAGTAGCAGATGAGTTGGCTGGATCCCAGGATCAGTATTGGTCTGATTTTGGGAATTTCAGGATTAAACATCGACAAAAAACTACTACAGTTCATTAGACCTGATACATAAGTCCAAATGCGTGTCCAAAATGTGTCCACACTTTTTTAGCTCGGGAGCTAGAATTCAAATGATGTGTAGAAAGTGATCTACCTACACTGAAAGTGATAAATATATATTTACTCATATAAACTGGACATACTTTATAAATACAAGATAAATGACATTCTTTCTTACAGTATATGCTCACTATAACACACACTTTTAATTATATTATATATATTATGTTTAAAAACAAATATACATTTATAATAATAAAGTTTTTATTTAATGGCTCCTATTATTTTGGATATGAAAAAAGTTGTGAAAGTTTTGTGGTTGTGATTATTTATAAAGTAGAAAATGTTTGTCCAGCAATATGTTTGAATTCGTCCAAGCCACTTTTTATTTTATGTTATTGGATAATTTTCTGGAATGATTTTTTGCAGTTTGTCTAGAAGATCCTCACTAACTGTGGCATATTTCAGTTAGACTAAATATTTTAAGTGATGCTTTTTTGAATGATACGTCTTTAGGGGCATATTTTGATAAAATGCTGCCAAAATTGTTGAAAATGAAGCATACGACCAGCAGTTAGGAGCTGCAACAGGGATATGTTCCATTACATTGGATTTTGGCCTTGTTTTGAGCAGCCGTCCAATCCTGGGCACGGGACTGTGGTCATCCTTAGACCCCTGCTGTTCCCTCGGTTATTTATACACACTGATTAAACCACTACCAATGAAAACAAGGCATACAGTAGAGAGACGCACAGTGAAAACTGAGGTACCAAGGAAAATCTGACAATACTGCATTAATAAAGGAGTGAATGGTATTACTGCCTGCTAGCTGTGATCTAACTTCCTCATTTCTGTTTTTTTTTCTTATCTAATTTCTGTCCACCTCTTCCTGATCCTGTCCTCATCTCCAGGTAAACCTACTCAGCTGGGCAGTGCCCAGTAGCCTCCTCTGTTGTTTATCTCCAACCTAGCCACCTCTGCTCCTCCATCAGTCGTCTTCGTTGCTGCTCTCCGTCCTGTCCTGTCCTCTCTCGTTTCCTGTTCACCATGGCGACCACTCTGGAGACCATGGTGATCGAGCCCGAGCAGGAGTCGAGGCCCGATTGGCTCAACAGCTGCGAGGACGTTGCTGGACGGTACAAGGTGGTGCCCTCTGTTGTCTGCTCCATGTGCTGCCTCTTTGGCATCATTTACTGCTTCTTTGGTAAGTTGTTAAAAAAAATGTATTGATCTACAGCTGGGGAAAACTAGAAGATAACAAGGCAGAAATTAGCTTACATTAGGCTATGCTCCATTCTTGGCTACATTTTATATTCGCCCTATTTTTGTGATTAAGCTTACAGTTACAATTATGACTGGCTAGGGCTGGCTGTAGGTTAGGTAGATAGGTGGGACTTTATTAATCCCTCGGAAAATGATGCAAAAACTTTGTTCCCTGACTGGGAATCGAACCCAGGCCACGGCGGTGAGAGCGCCGAATCCTAACCACTAGACCACCAGGGAAGATAGTTTCTGATATGTCAAATTTCCCAGTAATTTTGGCTAGTTTTTCTAATTTCTGAGCTTTGTTTTTGTTTCGACAACAATAAGTACAAATACAAAGAGTATAACTGATTTTAGAAAAGTATCAAACCAGCCGTTCTTAAAAAAAACAGTGTAAATAGTTTGGTTTAAAGTAGTTTTATTGGTCACCACCCTGACCCACCCTTTCTCCTTTATCAGTAGTTCTAATAGCGATGTGATTTTTTTGTTTATTGTATTTGTTGTTTTCTATTTCAGGCTACCGCTGCTTCAAAGCGGTGATGTTCCTCACCGGCTTAATGTTCGGCTCTGTCGTCATCTTCATGCTCTGCTACAAGGAGCGCGTGCTGGACACCCAGCTGAGCGTGGAAGCCTCAGTGGGCATTGGCCTGGGCATTGGTACGCTCTGTGGCCTGGTCACCATGCTGGTGCGCAGCGTGGGCCTCTTCATGGTGGGCCTGCTCCTGGGCCTGCTGGTGGCCGTGGCCACGCTGGTAGGCATGGAGGAACTGTCCAGCAGCCCACCGCGCTCCGTCTGGGTGCCCCTTGGCGTGCTACTTGGCCTAGGCATGCTGTTCGCCGTGCTCACCCTGCAATGGCAGCGCCTGTTCACCACACTGTCCACAGCAGTATTCGGGGCTGCTGTCATCACGGTGGCGCTGGACTACTTTGTGGAGCTCTTTGCCCTCGTCTTGTACATGTACGAGAGGATAAAGGCGGAGCCCGCTAAACCTGTATGTTGGCTGACGTGGGTGGTCCTGGGAGTCTGGCCTGCCCTCACCCTGCTGGGTGTTTTAGTCCAGTGGAAGGTGACGGCAGAGGGATACTCACATACCAAGGGTGAGAAACTGTTGGTCATGGTTCATACAGGTGCTGTATGAAGTTTTTTTAATTATGTTCTAGATCATAAACAAGCAAGTTACAAAAGTTAGAGCTAGAATTGGAAAGTTTAACTTCAAAACAAAAATCTTTCAAACAGTAATTTATAAAACATGAAAAGTAATCAAAATTATTTAAGCTAGGTATCACTTTCCAAAAAAACCTAAACAATTCCAGAAGACTTGATAAAAACCGGGCAGCCAAACGATTGCTAGAAGCTCCTCCCTCTTCACTGTACTTCTTTTCTCCTCCATAGTGATCATCAGCAGGCAGCAAAGGAGGATGCAGGTGATGAGGATACGTCAGCGTGACGACCGTTATCGCAACAAGAAGAAGAAGAAGCAGCAGCAGCAGCAACACGGTGGCTCCTCCTCCCAACATCACTCCTCCAAGCAGATACAAGAACCCGCCTACCGCCGCAAACCCATTCCCATCCGACGCTATGACACGGACGTCCTGTCACCGGTCAGGAATTAAATATTTAGAATTCTAACAACAAACCTATTACTATATATTTTTAAAGAATTTAGTTAAATGGATTTAAATAGATTTAATTGATTGGATTAGACGTTTTTTTTTCTTTCTGAATTTAAGTGGGGTTTTTTTATTAATGAGGTAAAATCCCAAACGCTTGCTTGTCTTTTGTCATTATAGTGCATTTTAGAAAATGCCACTAGAGGTCTGCGTTCCTCCATTATGTAAAATATAAATTATGTTTAGTATTTTTGATGATAGTCCTCCCTTGGTTATTAATTCATTTCTATATTGTGTAGCTACATGTAAAAATCCAATTTTGTTTAAACCTTTCTTTCTTCCTCCTCAGAGCTACATCCAGAGTTTCCGGGATCGGCAGGTGCAGCAGCAGCCTTTCCCTGAACGTCTGATGGGTGGAGCCCATGGTGTGATGGAAGTGGCCTACGACTCCAGCTCCACAACACCCCTCAGTGCAGCAGCAGCAGCAGCAGCAGCAGCAGCAGCTGGTGGAGCGACAGCTGCTGGACCTTCACTACGATCCTGAGAAAGAAAAAAACAACCACATTTTCCTCACTCAGTCCTGCACTCACCACAAACCACAGAGAAAGGACTCTAGAACTACACACTTGCACACTTTAAACTGGGTTTGATGCAATCAGGGTTTGGCACCTCTTAATGCTCACCCTCAAGGCAAATATGATAATGATTTTTAGGGCTTGATTTACTCTAAATGTGATACTTGTTCACTTCTAATGAAAGAAGTATTATTTTTTTTAAAGATCCAATCTGCTCATGGAAACCTACTGGAGCCATTGTTTTGCAAAAACATCTGTGAAACAGTTTTTTTTTTCACTTAAAATTTAAAAAATGCACAGATGCATGCATAAACATATACATATAAAGAAAAAACACACACTCTGGCTACTGCAGCTTTAACTTCACACGCCTGATGGGAGTGAGAACCATGTTCAGGCACAGAGGCATTAGTAGTAGGTACAGCTGTAGCCTGAAGGGTTGACCTGTACGTTACCATCGCAAGTCAAACCAGATCAGGGAACAACTGCCTCAGGTCCAAACAACTGGCATTGCCTGTTATTCTGGGTGCTGTTTCTATGGCTGCCATCGTTTTCAACCTGATGCTGCAGCTCCGGCGTTTAGATCTTTGAAGAGACCAACACAAACCAGAGAACTGTTTTTACTTTTTGGTGCCATCTGGACTAAAAACACCTTCATTACATCTTTGAATTATGAAACATGTCTTATCTATTCTTTTCTAAGGAGAAAAACCATGTGGCATCACAGGTGCTGGACGTTTCAGGACTTTTAACACTTTCTTGATTCCCTCCCAAGGACTGGGGAATCTGTTTTAAACAGGTGCCTTGTTCCTCTCGATCTGTACCGATCTTTAGCAGTGGGGTTACTGGCACATCTCTCATTAATGGCTTGCTTTTTTGTTGTTTTTAAGTGATTACACAGTTGATTTTAGAAGGGAGTTTAGAGGTAAAAGCAGGGCAGAATTTAAATAATTTACACTGGCACCCCATAATGATGTAATGAAACAGGAAAACATTTCCGCCATATGAATAAGTTACATGTTTAGTTTCATCACTGCCATTCACACAGACATGTTTGATCTAACCGCTTACTGTAGATGTTTTTTTCCCCACCATCAAACCTTTTGTAAACCATTGTATCATCCCACCCCAGTCTATTGGTAATCAGAATCCCCCATGAACCACAAGAGGGAGCCCTTGTACCACAAGTGGTATGCATACCATAGTTGGGGTTTTAGGCCATTTTCTTGGTAAACCACAGATGGAGTAGTCTTGGAGTAGCCTTCATTTATCAGACTTTCTGTGCACCTGCTGAGCTCATCCAAGTGCTCGTCTAAAACACATCTGGTAACCACGTCACTGGTACAGAATGTCTAGATCTGTCAAACTGACAATTGATTTTGGTTTGTGTAGATCAGGTATTGACAAAGACTTGGGTCCTGTTCTAGAGTCTGATCACAGTCACTAATAAGCAAGACGCAGTCAGTTTTGTGTTCCTGTAAAAGTAACTTAAACATGATGACAATGAGGTGTCAGTGTAAATTAGGGCTGTCACTTTTCACAAAATCAATTTGCAAATTTTCACACAAAATCCAGTAGGTCACGGAATTCTTTCACTTGTCCCTATTATTGTCAATAATGGTCTTTTTGTGTATTTCTGCCCAGGTTTATTTAAATAATGTTCCAGTGCGCAGGCACAGAGGCGTCAATCGAGAAGAACAACGGCAAATTGTCCAAACTTGGTTGCTGTAGTAGGTAGAATGTGTCTTTCTACAAACTACCCAGGGTTCAGTGTGCTGCTTGAACAACAATAGCAGTGCAGTGTATTTTTTGGGGGGGTTGTTTTGGGTCCTTGACTTCTCCTGAACCCTGCATGTTTGACTGGTCTGCCAGGAAGTAGAGAAACTTATATTGGAGTTTTGTAGTACTTGTAACATATATACAGGGTGATTGTGGTCATTTTGCCTAAGTGCCCTTGCTGGTTTAGGCAGTTAATATTATTGTGACATTAGACATTTAGAAAGTCTCGAAAAAGGGATTCAATCTTCTGAAATTGAACTTGGTTAACCACGACCTCAACTATTTTGTATATCTTCACTTTGGTTGAAAAGTGACAGCCCTGGTGTCAAAGAAGTTCTTAGTTCATGGATTTGTGGTTATATAAAGTTGTACCTTCAACAACAACTCCTCCAGGTACGAATGCGCATTAGTATTTGTAGCAACAAAATGAGGAAAATCAACTTGTGAAGACTTTGTGAACTATCTGTTTATATATTGGAGAGAAAAAACATGCAAACAAATGAGTTGGAGAGTTTGAAATGGAAAAGTATTTGTTTTATTTATTATCCTTTGGGAAACACAGATTTTCTCCAGCCGATGGATTGTTCACTTCAACAGTACCACGCACCCGCCACCCTTTCAGACTGTATGCATCAATGTGAAACTTGTACATAACTGAGCACTTAAGATTTTTTGCAACCATTTTACGTTTATTTTAAACATTTATTTGTAATTGGAATCTCGTTTGTCGAGACACGTTTTTCTCAGCGTATCTTCTTTGCTGATTTGTTATTTATTTATTTCTGTCACGGACAGTGCAATGCCACCGCTTTAGGCCGGTAACTCACTTTAAAATGGAAAATTATGACTATGATCATTAAAGCATGTGTTCCTACAAGGCCTGTACACCATCGCGGTCTGAGACTCGTTTTTTACGCAGTGGAAATACCAGACAATTAGCTGGAACATTAATCAGCTTTAGTTTTATTAGCCGACATCATTTGGAAGTCACTAAGGGGGAATAATTGCTCTTATTTTATTGTTTCCTCCTCTCTCCTCCTCTGCCTCCTGTTCTACCTTGTCTAGTCTCTCTCTTCTATCTCCTTGATCTCCAGACATCTTTCATCTCTTTCCTCTTTTCTCCATTTGCCCTCTCTAATCCTATTTTGTAATCAAAATCACATGCAGTTCACCTTATTTTTGCTCAAAACACAAAAGGTTGGCTGTTGAGTATTTAATGTTTGGTTTTTTGTCCAACTTTGCAGCCTCTTTGTAGGTCAGGTTCAATCTGTGTTGTTTATAATGTTATTATTTTATTTCTGTTAATTTGCACATTCTTTCATGACAAATTGAATTAATATTGATTATGTTTCAACAGAAGGACAGAACTTAATCAGAAGAACCAGGTTTAACATTGCCAAAATACCTGAGGGCTAACTGTCCACTGTGACACACTAAAATATAATGATGTACAAATGCAATGTATTTTTAAAAATACATAAAAAGATTTAAATTAAATGTCAATCCAAGCGATCGTTTTTAGAAAACAACACTTTTAGCTTCTCTCGGCTAGTTAGTTAGCCCATAACACAAGAAAAGGTTAGAAACTTAATTTGAAAATTTAACAGGTATAAATTTAAAATTGGAAAAATATAGGCATCAACTAGTCAAATAGTTAATTAAAAACAACTGAAACAAAAAAGTAGCTTAAGTTAAAAGGACAACACCACAACAAGATGTCTAAAAACTAAAAAAAAAAAAAACAACATTAATGAAGCAGATAGCTAAATATTTACCCTAAAAGAGCAAAAGCACTCCAAGATATTTAAGAGGGAAATTAATGATCCAAATGACCTGATGACCAAAAATAATATATTTTGCACACCGTAAACTGTAAATACTTATTTTTTACCAAAGTAGTACTGAGCCTCTAAATCTCTGACTACCTCATTTAACCCCTGGGCCATATTTTGGACACCCTCAAACTAAAGTAGATTTAGGTCACAAACTTAAAGATAATTTGTTCTTGTATTATTTATGCGTGGACTCTTCTTAGAACTGTTTTTCTCCTGATCTTTACCTCTGTGGCTTCAATAATATTAGATGCAATCAATTCTTTAAATCCTTACAGTGAAACGACCACAGTATAGGAGGTGAGGATGAGTTTGTAGGCTCTGGCTGTGTACTATTATTTGTGGTGTTTGTGTGAACAAACACGGTGATCTTGTGTTTGCATTCTTGTTGTCTCCAGATCTGTGTAAAGGTTTAAATGATGTCCTGTTGGTGCTGCGTGGACTCACTCACCACCTGCAGGAGAAAAACTCAGTGATCAGACACAGATGTAAAGATACAAAAAGAAAAGAAAACATTAGAATAGGACAAAAATGTATTTTTACACCGCATCACGGGATGTTTTTTTTTTCTTCCAGTGTACATTGACCGAATTCAGCTGTAGAACCAGCCTCAGCAGCGTGTTGTAACCTGTCTGTCTGGGTGTTTACTAACTGGCATATGATAAGGTGCTGAATGGTACTGCACATATTTGACAGTACTTGTTGTAACATGTCACACAAACACATGGTCCGTAAAACAAAATACATGAAACGATGGCACCTAGTGGAGACATTTAGCCAGAGCCACAGTGGGGTAAATCCTAGATAATTCAACAGGGCCACATTACCCTTCACACCTATAGTGATGTCAGTGAGTGAACTATTGACCTAATTTTACATGTTTTTTGACTGTGAGAGAAAACCAGAGCACCTGGAGAAAACCCACACACACGGAGCACATGCAGACTCCATACAGCAGGGGTCCCCACCCGTGGTTAATTGTTTTTTTAGTACATATTGGGCCGCAGAGAAATCATTATTTATTTACTTCATTTAAAGCTAATCTGGTCATTTCCATTTATTTTCTTAATTTAAAGTAAAGACTTCAATGCTAACAAAAATAAAGCCAAAAATGTGTTTTATTTTGAAAATTTGCAGATGCTTAACGAGGCTTCAGGGATTGACATGACTATACTGACCAGTGACAGCTAACCGGGTACTGAAGCATCCATCTTATGCTGAACGGTAAGAGCAACTAGCGTTCTTTAACTGCGTGGTCAATTCACAGCTATATCTCTGTTTAAGATTCAAAGCTTCACTTAATCGTGAAACGATAAATAAATATTTATAAATTTACTGTAAACTATGCGACTGTATTATAACAACAGGTATGTCCGTTTTTTAGTGTAAATTACTTCCGCATTCTCCAGGTATATTACACATATTGCACTTAAATTATAAAAAGTAATGAACATAGAACAGTATGAAATCTTTCACTTATTGATCTAATTGTTTCTCTGTTTTCTGAGTGCATGTCTTCTTCACCTCTCCATCACGAGTCTCGATGGTCTTGATCAGAACAGTTTTCTTCGAATGCATCTCAGAGCCCCCCCGCTGCTGGTGTTCAGGGCTGGACTCTGTTGTTGATGAACAAACAGAAAATAAAATTATATATATATATATATATATATAGTCATTAAATATATAATTATATTTGATGATGTTCTTAATTTAATGTATGCAATTTACAGACTTAATGTTTTGACATTTGTCCCATTACAGCATTTATTTAGATACATATTATCTATTTAATACTATTTAACTATTTAAACTTCATACTACATTAAGCTTTCTTCCTACATGTATTAATATATTTGTATTTCTGGCATCTTTAAGCTATTTTCAGAATTATATTTAAGCTATTTTTAGCAATTTGGGCTCTCGTTTAGGTTCTCATTAATTTAGCTAATAATGTAATGTTTTATTAATTTAAGACTGTGTTTGACTTATACATTTCTTTTTTTTCCCCTGATCGTTGGATAACGTTTAGCAAATGTATTTCAACACCATATTAAAATAGTTTTTTTCCAATTTTTAGGAATTTGGGGTAATTTTAAAATCTATTTGTACTGCATAGTTTTTAGATTACTTTACATTTTGGCTTAAATGCTAAATGAATAGCATTATGTGCTATACTTTTTTTAGCTTAGTCCTTGAGTAGTAATATAGTTAATGTCTGGAAACGGATATTCTAGACGAAATGATTCCTGAAAACGATTGAAATTCATTTTAAATAACGACTAATTCAGCTCCTCTTTTTGCAGCTTACCTCGAAAATTTATAGTGGAATAGCTTTGCAAAGGCAAGGCAATCCTGCAAACAGAGAAAAACAGTCACATTTTTCAGTATTCTTCAGTTTTTGATCCAGATGGATATTTCCAAACAGGAACTGGGTTTTATTTCTCTGTCTTGAACATCTTTTTTTCTAACTGTGTAGAAGAATGCTACATACAGAATGTCATATGAAGTGTCACAGAACAGTATTCTCTATTCACCTGCTCTCCTCTCCCTCCAGCAGCTTCCTGTAGGTGGCGATTTCCACATCCAGGGCCATCTTGACATTGAGCAGGTCCTGGTATTCACGGAGGTGGCGGGCCATCTCATCCTTCATGTTGGCGATCTCTGCCTCCAGCCGGGCGATGGTGTCCTGGAAGTTGCCAGCCTCACGCCCGTGACGGTCCTCCATGTCCCTCATCTGTCTCATCAGAGACTCATTCTGGATTTTAAAAAGGGTACGGTGAGTTTGAAGTATGTGTACATACAAGTGTGTGTACATTCATGTAGTGTGTCTGTTAGTGAGACATACAGTGCCCTTCAGGGAGTCGATCTCACAGGTGTAGGCCTGGATCTGGTGTCTGAACTCCATGGTCTCCTGTCGAGCCAGTTTCAGAGCCTCATTGTTTTTACTCACAGCCTGGTTCAGGTCAGACACCTGCAGTAATGATGGTGAACATTAATACACAAATGTAAAATATCCAAGTGCTTTTACTTTGTTAACCCTCTCTACTTCCAGCAGACTAGAGTTCATCTACTTCAGGTATCCAACCTGAAGAATGTATTATTTGTTAGCTTAATAAATAAGCTATTGCAGTAATATTAATAATTTCACAATATATTAATTACTTAGTAAAATTAACTTCTCGCCTAACATGTTACTATTTCTGATTTTTTTTTTTTTACTTAAAATGCAGAACTAATGCTCAGTTATGGTTTGGCCATGTTTACCTTGCTCACAATATTTGTTGCTATTGCTTATATTTTTTTACCAACGTGAATATTTTCAGTCAGTATCGTTAGTTATATTTGCTGCTTTTTCTGCTACATTTGATGTTTCCAGAAAACATATACTACAGAAAGAAAATATTTTTAGCCACAGCTATGTATATATATATATGTATATATGTACATATCTTTATCTCTGTACATCATACACATAAAACTACAGTATATATACAGTAGTACATGATAACTGATTACCTTAGATTTATACCAGTCTTCAGCCTCTGCGATATTCTTGGCAGCGATGCCTTCATACTGGGCTCTGATGTCTCTCAGTGCAGCCGTCAGGTCAGGCTTGGACATGTCCATCTGGATCTGAACCTGGGTTTCCTGCATCTGGGCCTGCAACTCACGGATCTCCTAGAGGATGAGTATAACAAATAGAGAAAAGTCAGGAAGCCATAAAGGAGGAAATTAATGAATTAATGCAATCCTAAAAGTAGCGTGTGCAAAACTTCTCAATGCCTTATTATAAAATTGTTTTTGCACTTTGATCATTATATTTCTGTCATATGTCTAATGTTGAACCAGGGCTTTCAAAGCTGCGTTTACAGCACCCCCTATCGGGGCAGGTATGGAAGCTACATATGTCTTTGGGCATTTTAGCAGGCCCAGTTAAGACGGGCAGTAAGTACAATATGACAGGGACAGAAGCAGAAACCTCCTCGTGGATCTTCTTCAGGAATGCGATCTCCTCCTGCAGCGTCTCAATGCGTCTCTCGAGATCCAGACGAGCCAGAGTGGCAGCATCCACGTCCTATCAGAATGTAAGTTAGTCCAACACTTACAAATAAAACATATATAATATAGTTTCCTTGCACAGTCTTGACTTGTAGACATAAAATTATTATTATTATATTTGTGTGGGACTCACTGCTCTGAATGCAGCCAGGTTATTTTCTGCGTCTTCTCTTTGCAGCATCTCCTCCTGGAGTCTGAAAGATTTAGAAAACAGATTTAGATTACTAAGGGGATTTTTTTTTCACCATCACAGCCATATGGTAAATGTCCAAGATCTGGCCTGGTGGCCAAAGGTGGTACTTAATATCAGGGTAGAAGGTCATTATTCCACACGTGCAGGGGTATGCTTGACCTGTAGCTATCTTGTCCTTGTTATTTTGTTGAATTTTACACATTGAATTATTTTTATCCAACTTTTAATTATGTGACACCAAGCCTTGTTGAAAAAATTAAGAGTGAATTTAAAAAAAACGCAGACTAACTTTGGTCAGATCTAATAATTAAAATACGATTTAAAGAATAATTGATCTGAAAACCATCTTTTTTTAGCACTGATTTAATTTTCCAAGTATTTACGTAGAAGTTTTGGCTCATTGATCTCCATCTAAATGTGAAGAATTGAAGAGATAAAGAGCTTTGAGGCAGACTTTAGTGAGAGTATCTTTGACAAATCTGGCAACTTAACAGCAGTAGCACTGTGTCTCTTCTAAGTCTTTATGGAGCTGCCACTTCAAATGTAAACCCACGAGAGAGAGAGAGAGAAACAGTCAGAGAGAAAGAGAGAAGACAGATCATTAGCGATCATTCAGTTCATGTTCAACTCTTTCCTCTCCTTTTATAGAAGTACGGAATAAATGTGTCTGTGTGAAGGTCTGAGCTCTCTTTGGTCGGACCTGCACTCACGCACAAACACACACACACACAAAACCTAATGTTTACCTTTGGCAACCTCCTGGCAACACTGTCCCCTCATTTAAATACTATGGTATTATTATAATATTATATTTGATAGGAATTTGAAATATTAATATTGTGGTTAATGTAAGGTGTATTCCTTACATTTGATTCTTCTGAGTAACCACTTCAGATAGTTTAAAAGATAAACAGAAAATCCTACTGTTCTTCAACTAGTGAGAGACTTTGTTTAGACAGTTAAATTGACCTCACCCCATGAAAAAACCAGTAGAGTTCTTACAAGAACATGAGTCCTCATCCTTGCTCCTTTACAGTTCAAAGGTCGATCAGTGTGTGTTTTCAAAACAAACCGCTGACAACAGCTCCTGTTTGGAGCTTCTCATCTTCCACAAGCCTTGATTATGGAGACATGAAGTTACACGTTTGCGTGTGTGTGTGTGCGTGTGCCATAACATTCATTCACCAGCTCACAGTTGCCCTGTGTTCTTGGGCATCAACAAAAGCAGTGAGGAGTTTATAGGAAGTATAGCTTCCTCTCTGTCACTCTCTATTCCTTTTAGTATGTGCTGATAAACTAACTCCCAAAGTCAGCATATTAATGTCAGGATCAGCATTTTTAAGTGCGAAATACCTCAGCTTTCTCTACAGGGACACAATGGACCAAATATAACCACTTCAGTGATATGCCTACTTTATATATATATATATATATATATATATATAACACACATATATATATATAACACAAATATATATATATATATATATATATATATATATATATATATATATATAACTCTCAATGTGAGA